CCAGTGAGACGGGGGGGGGGGGGGGGGCGTCACAGAGACCTCAGGTGATGGGAGGTTGGGGGAGGCTGAGGACTGTGAGTCCGGGTGGGCCTCGCTGCCCCTCCCCTTCACCCAGGTGGATCTTCCCATCTCCATTGACCAGTTGGCCCTGCTTCCTGATGACTTTGCGGGTAGATGCTAACCTTTAAAAAAAGTATTGAATTTATTAGGGTGACATTGGTTAATAAAATTATATAGGCTACAGGTGTATAATTCTATAACACATCACCAGTATATTGTATTGCGTGGTCACCACCCCTAGTCACGTCTCCTCCATCACCACTGATCCCCCTTTATCTCTCCTACCTTCCCCCTTCCCCCTTTCCCTCTGGTCATCACCATCCTGTTGTCTGTGCCTGTGAATTTTTTTTATTCCTGCACTTAATCCCTTCGCCCTTTTCATCCAGCCCTCCAAACCACCTCCGCTCTGACAGCTCTGTATCTGAGTCTGTTTCTACATTAGTTGTTAGTTTATTTTGTTCATTAGATTCCACATATAAGTGAAATCACATGTTCCTGTCTTCTCAGAGAAGACTGGCTTATTTCACTTACATAATACTGTCCAGGTCCATCCATGTGGCTGCAAAGGGAAGATTTCCTTCTTTTTTTCATGGCCGAGTAGTATTCCGTGGTGTACGTGGACCACAGCTTTTCTGTGGCCTTTGTGATGTAATGCCCCCTTCTGAGTGAGCCAGTGGTTTTCCCTGGCACAGCGGGTGGTATAGTCTCACATTGGCATTCCAGCCGAAGAAGTGCCCCCTCATGTCCCTGAGAATGAGAATGGCCTCCCAGTCCCCCCGCCACTGCTTTCATCATCGGCAGGTTAAGCACCTGGGTTGGGACAGTTCTCTCTCTCTCTCTCTCTCTCTCTCTCTCTCTCTCTCTCTCTCTCTGTGTGTGTGTGTGTGTGTGTGTGTAGTATCTAATGTGCTGTAGACACTTAGAATCAACCAAAAACCAGACCCTGCCCAATGGGTTCAGCAGCCGTTTTCTTTGGGTCCAAAGCAGCACGCATACCTTATAGCACAGGGACCACAGTTGATGTCCTTTGTGTGTTTTTTTAAACTGTACACCCACCCTGACAGAGGTGAGTAGATAGGAATCTTGAGCACAGAGTAAAAGAAATGGAGAAAGCTCAGCAAAACCTGGGTCCCCTGCCCAGGATGGAGGGGCTCTGTGATCGGGGGCGAGAGGACGGGGCGGGGGGTGGAGGGTGTGCATGGGGGAAGCATTCCCGTCGTAGTGAGGAGAGCAGGAACTCCAAAAGCAGGCAGTGCCTTCATGGATGCTCCACTGGGGTTTGGGCCGTGGTGGATTCTTCATATATTACAGTGACTTTAATTAAATACATTGTGATCCCAACTGAGGGTATTCTAATTAGCTGGGTCAGGAACAAATTATTCTCCCTCCTTCTCCAAATGAAAACATCTACTCGCTTCTGCAGGCAGAGCGTGTCCTTGGCTGACTGGCTTGCCCAGTGGAGTCCTCCTGGGCCTCTCCAGCCCCAGCCCCTCCTGCTGCTTCTTATTAAGCTGCTTCCAAAGGTGGGATTCTGGGGAGGGGGCCAGTGCTGCCCGGGAGGGGGAGGGCCTCTGGCCAACAGGGTCAGGGCGGTGACCCCCTCACGGCCTGGGAAATGACCAGATGGTGTGGAGAAGGTCACAGAGGTCAGGCCCCGGCTGCGAGCTTTGGGTCCCTGTTTGCACCAGGCTGGACAGCCTTTGAAATAGCGAGTGAGAACTTACAGAATGTGGTGAGAACAGGATCTGTCACATGCAGGTCAGCATCAGGAGACTCGGGTGGTGAGTGCAAGTTTGGGTTGGGATGTCACCTTGAAAAGCAGGTGTTTCCTGGCAACTGAGCAGTAGTTTGTTGTGTGTGTGTGTGTGTCTTGGAGAATGAACTTGAAGCGCAAACACAAGCTTGGAATTTTGAATGAGGCTTTTGTGCAAGTGAGAGAGGACCCTAAAGGCTCCCCAGACCAGGATCCGTGGGAGAGGCCATGGCCGTCTACCCTCCTTCCTTCTGTTCCTCCCCATTGAGGGGGGTGCCCGTTTCCCTTCCCAAGGGGCTCTCGGTGGCAGAACAGAGTCGGGGCCGCACAGAGAGCGCCGATTGCCACCATGAGCTGGAGTGTAGACTGGCTCTGGAACATCTTCCTCCTACCAGTTGTTAAAGCAGAGTCCACTGTACGACGTTTATTTCATTAGGATTTACAAGTGCTGTCCCCCAGGAGCCCAGGAGCGTCCGGACAAAAGACATTTGATATCTTGACTTCCACCCAGTTCTCTTTGGCCCTGGTATCCTTTCTTCTGGCTCTGAGGCCAGAAACCCCAGCCATTTCTAAAGGAACCCTCACGTCCATATTAAACGTGATGTTTACGAATCAGTGCCTTACTGGGAGGAAGCCCTGTTTCGTGGGAAGGTGATGGGACCTGGGGGGCAGGCTTTACTGATTCCTGCTGTGTTTGCAGACTTCATGGTGTTACCACAGTCCCTGGATTCCATGGAACTTGGTGCTTTGGATTCCGTGGTTATTTCTCCAGTTGTCTTGCATTCAGGCAGTTTTTGTTGAGGCAGAATAAGTGTACTTCTTGGTGACCAGGACCGCAGTCCCTGGCGCCTGCACCTCAGTCCCACGCTCATCTCATTCCTTATATCGTCCACCGGGCCCTCTCCTGGGAGACAGGGCTGTAGCCTTGGGAACACGGTGCTTCTGTGCGGCTCATCCCCCTGAAGTTCTCGGCGAGGAGCCTTGTCTCAGAGGAGGCAAATGGAAGATAAACCCTGAAAAGATAAAACAGCTCAAATTTAATGTTTTTATTTCTTTTTACTTTTATTGATTTCAGAGAGGAAGGGAGAGGGAGAGAGAGAAACATCAATGATGAGAGCGAATCATGGATCGGCTGCCCCCTGCACACCCCACACTAGGGATGGAGCCTGCTACCCGGGCATGTGCCTTGACCAAGAATCGAATTGTGACCTCCTGGTTCACAGGTCGACACTCAACCCCTGAGCCACGCCGGCCTGGCAAAACAGCTCAAATCTATTTCAAGAAAAGTAGCTTTTTATTTTAAGTTGTTGCAATTTCTTGAAGAGTTAACATTGAGCTCACTCCTTCCTTAAACGCCTTCTGGTTGGGCCATGGCACTTGAGTAGCTGTTACTGTGGAGACATTAGCAAGTTCCAGGGCTCTGCACTCAGCGTGTTCACTCACCCACGCTGTGGGGAAGGGGATATTGGTACCTGCAGAGCCCTCCCCGTTCCTACCTGCAGACTAGCTGCGCCAGTTCACGTGATTGAGGGCCTTGGCCTCCTCCGCACAGTGATTTTCTACGGCACGTACTCGGTGTATTCATGTTTCCTCATCCGATACGGTGCAAACGTGCTCCTGGAGCTTGCACACTCTTTTGCTGAATGTTTGACGTGCGCCTGTGAGCAGATGAGCCTCAGAGCCGCGCCATTCGATAGGAAGTGCTGGTGGGGCCTGGGTGCTGTCGGTATTGGGCCCCGTGCCGGGCATTTCAGCTGCTCCGCGTTCTCGGGCCTTATTATCACCTGGACCAGCCACAGTTGTCAGGGTGTGGGCATCGAACGGGACGGGTGCGCGGCAGACGGGGAGCAGCAAGTTGACTTCCGAGTCACCTGCTGTGTGCTCTGCAGCGACAGGGACGGCTCCCGGGACGGGGGGTGGGGCTGTGGGCGAGGAGGGAGAGGGACAGGTGGTGACATGAACACAGACTCTTCGGTCATCTGAACTTCCTCCCCCACAGGGATGCGAGAGTCGGGGTCTGGTTCTCTCCTTTCCACAGACGAGCTGGCTAGCCTGGGTCAGGCACTTACGCTTTGCAGAATTGCTTCCCCTGCTCTCGGTGTACAAGCAGAACTCACGTCTCCTCTCCTGCGGGTCCTGGGGAATGAAGGGATGGCCTTTCTGTGTACCCAGAGCCAGTGTGTCCATTCCCTCCCTGTTCCCAGAAAGGGCCCGTACGTAGCTCTTTTCATTCTCAAAGAGCCATGGAAATGTGGTCAGTGTTGTCCTTGGAAAATCGTCTCCTCTGAGGCACGGGCGTCGTCAGGGCATCAGCGACTTGAACCCTGTGTGAGCCCGCCTCCCGCCAGTGCCTGGGCTCCCAGGTCCTGGGATCAGTGCTGTGCCCGCACAGACCCCACACAGAGTGCAGTTTTGTCCATCTGTGCACGAAGCCAGGTGACCTTGAGATGTTGGCAGGGAACTCGTCGGAGAAATTTATTTTTCTGTCTTTTTTAATCCAGGAGAAAACCTAATTTTGAGTTCTCCCAATAGACTGTAGTTCTTAATACAAACGCTTGAACCTTCTTCCTTGGCCTGTGTTACTGAACTAGGCGGGCATCTGTTCAGGCCCGGTGACCTTACGGACTGTCACTTAGACTAGCTTTTGCTAAAGGCCAGGTAGCTCGATTTGAGGCTTTGCAGGACCTCCAGTCTCTGTTGCAACTGTTCAGCTGTGGTGTTCTGAAAGCAGCCCTGGACGATTCGTGTCACATCAGTGGCCGTGTTCCCTTAAGACTTTATTTACAAAAGTAGTCAGCAGGTGGGATTGGCCTGCGGGCTGCCGTTTGCTGACCCCTGACCTCCATAATGCAGGCCGCTTTGGAGAATGGAAGGGGAACCTTTCATTAATGGGCCAGGAACACCGACAGGATGAGAAAGGTCCAATCCATCCGCATTTTCAGCCCCGTGAAAAGCCACGGGCAAGGACGCTGGGGGACACAGGAATGCGAGTCAGCTTGCTGCTTGTCCTCGGGGAACTGCTGGAGAAGGCACAGTGGAGCGGGGAGAGACGGGCACAGAGCAAACCCTCTAAGGAATCCTATCGGGCTGCAGCCAGGACGGCGGTGGGCACTCCGCGGTGGGCTCAGGGCGGCGATGGGCTCTGAGTGGCTAACCCCAGGCATGTCCGTGTTCTTTGCCCCGGCAGCACCTGCAGCAGCACGAGAGCGGCGTGGAGGGCGAGAGCTGCTACTACCACTGCGTCCTGTGCAGCTACTCCACCAAGGCCAAGCTGAACCTCATCCAGCACGTGCGCTCCATGAAGCACCAGCGCAGCGAGAGCCTGCGCAAGCTGCAGCGGCTGCAGAAGGGCCTTCCCGAGGAGGACGAGGACCTGGGGCAGATCTTCACCATCCGCAGGTGCCCCTCCACCGACCCAGGTGAGTGGTCTCCAGGCCCGGAGGCCTGGGTGGGCCGGATGCCGACCTGTGTGCGGCCTCCGTCGGTGGGTGCAGCTGGCCCTCGCATCCATGGCTGACCGCACAGGCGGCCCTTGTATTCTGGAAGGAACATGCATGGATGGTTGCATTTTTTAAAAAGGGACTTAGGGCCACTTTGATTCTGCTATCACAAGCCACTGCCCAGGGAGCCGGCCAGCAGTTGTCCTGTCCCCATCCCCTAACGGTCTAGTACACTGTGGATGCAGAGTGTTGCTTCACGTTGTGCATAACCAAGTGCCAAGTTGTGTCGTGTTCGATCTTAAGGACAGTCCGTTGGTGGCCTCGCGTCTGGTCTGTGAGGAGTAGCTTCAGGTAGAGTCAAAACAAAGACTGGTTGCAAACATCGTTATTATATTTGAAAGCGACCCCAGTTGCCCCGTGTCTCAGTGCCGCCTGTTACTTCACGGAGCCAAGACCTCCACCCCCCGTCCTGTCAGCTCGCCCGCAGTCACCTTCCCCGCACCCCGGGCTCCCCTTTGTGACTCGCCCCCTGCGGCCTCGCTCGCTGGAATCACCCCTCTGCTGTTTCCAGGCTTCCCATCCCTTTCTCTCCACGCGGAAGCACAGGGACAACGTGCTTTTTTAGAAACAATTAAAACAAAAGGCCTCCCTTAGCCCCCCGTTCCCTCCCTGCCCCCAGGAAGCTGCCGGGCTTTTGAGGGGCCTTTCCTGGTGGCTCCTTCTCAGCTGCCCCCTCATGCCGCCTCGGCCTGTGTCCTGTCATCACACTGCCCTGGAAGAGGGGCCCTGGGCCTTTGGGCTCACCCACCCAGCGCTTCCTGCTTGCCCCGACCCCTCCCCTTTCTGCGGTCTTGGAAATTGTTGCCCGGCCCCTCCTCCAAGCTCCCTCCATTCTCTGGGCGCTCAGGTGTGTTCCTTCCTCGTCCTCTGGCTCCTCCTGGCCGTCCTCCTCCCCCCACGTGCCGGCGTCCCGGGGTTAGGCCCTGGCCCTTGGCTCCCGGCCTCAGGAAGCTTTAAGCAGCTCCTGGGGTTCCCACTGGTGCCACCTCGCAGGCTGAGCTCACGACGTCCTGTCCACACTTTCCTCCCAATGGCTCGCTGCTGAACGACCTGGTCCAGGTGGGGACTCGGGCTGCCTTCTCCCTCCACCACCTGTGGCTCCCTCTCCGCCTGGAGCCGTCGGGGCTGAGTGGGGTTTCCAATCTTAACGTTAACAAATTGCACATTTGTAGAGCTTTTAAAGGCAAAAATTACGTGGCCCTTATGAAAAATGGCGTGACCCTCCCTCATCCCGTTCCCCTGAGCAGTGGCTTTCAAGTTTTCGTTGGATTTTTGTTACTTATTTCCATGTTGATGGACATGCTTCTATTACTATTTTTGATTTTTCCCCCCAAGTTTAAGGCATCTCTTGGCTTTATACTCTGGAAGATGGCGATTTCACTAGCATGCCGTTCTATAAATCCACTCACTCGTACCCGCTCACCCACTCCCCGTCTGCAAACCCACACAGAGAGAGACACACACACACACACACACACACACACACCCATGCTCCGCATACACTCACACACGCACACTCTGCACCTACACTTCCCTGCTCCCCGCCCCCCGCACTAGCCCCCCCCCCCCCCACTCCCCAGCCCCCTACACGCTCAGTCCTCTCCTCCCTCTGTCTTCCAGTGTGATTAAATAATAATTTGGGGTTTTATTAATATTCAGTGTTTTCATTATTCTAACTCTATAAATATTAATCACAGCTGAGCCGTGTAGAGTTTTATAATTTCATTTACCTACTTGTACAACTTTTTGTTTTCCCTGGTTTTCTAGGTACCTATGATTAATTCATGGCTCAGCCTCCCCAGAATGACAGTTCCCGATCTCTGGAGGCCCTGCTGTTATCAGTTGTGCTGGGGGCCGCGTTTCCTCCTGGAGGCACCCCTACTCCTGGCCCCGTCACCCCGCTCTCCACATAAGGGGGACTGGATTTCCCGTGTGATAGGCTGCACCCCCCCTTTGAGGGTGTGTCCCCCCACCCCCTCACTGGAGTGGCTCAGGTTTCCTATCACAGTGGAAAGGCCAGTCGCCCTGAGTCAGGGTGAGTCATTGTGTCAGGAAAGGGCTGCTGGGGACCAGGATAATCTTGTCATCTCCAGGTCCCTGCAAGACTGTCTCCTCCCACGTGTTTTTCAAATTCCTGTTCTGGTTAAAGTCCCGCTGCCTTAACCCACGGGGTCTACTTCGCTTCTTGTCTGACCCCATCGCTCTGTGTGTGTGGGGGGGGGGTGCTCTCTGGAGCAAGGGATGGGGTCCAGTACCCAAGGACACGTCTGTGCCTGAAGACTGGGACCATTGTGCCATCTGGCTGTGGGGTCCCCAGTCCCTACTGGGGCATCTGCCTCTGCCTGCCCCTGCCACCCCCCATTATTCCACTGCCCAGTCACTTCCTAGGAGTCTCCTTCCTCCACCTCTTTATTTCAGGGCTGGGGTTTTCTTTTTCATGTCTTTTTGCCAGCTCTGCCTATGTCATTGTTTTAACCTTCTGTTAAAAGCTGGTCCCTCCCCCCCTCAATTCTTTCTTTCACTCTGCTCAGAATTCCCTTTTTATTAATGAGGTGCCCCAAACTAAATAGTGTACAGCTGCCATTTCACCCGGGGTCTGTGGGCTGGAACAAACAGTGCCCTGTTTCATAATGTAATCCTCCTATTTATGCAGGCCGCGCTGGAATGGCTTTCTTACACCATTGCCTTCTGGGTTGCTCTCATGTAATGCGTATTAGGGTTTCTTTTCCCCCTGAAGTGTATGAGCAACGTTAGTTAGATGATAGACTTCCTCTCTGTATTTCAAAATCCTTTTGTATTGCCTTTGGCCCGCAGTCATGTTTTTGATCTCTACCCACCCTGCACCCCCCTTGAACCCCCCTCCTCCCGGCTAAATTCATCCTCCTTACCAATGACAAAGAGGCAGATTATTAGGTGATGTTCCTGTTGACGTTAACAGTAACGCGGTGCTGTTTTGGAAACTCCGTTAAGAAAACTCACCTTAAAATATATCATCTCCATCTCTCCTCCCAAGGAATTGTCTCTTCACAACTTCTGGAAAAAATGTCCTCAGTGCCCTGGCCGGTGTGGCTCCATTGGCTGAGCGTGTCCAGTGCCCTGAAGGTTTGCTGATCTGATTCCTGGTCGGGGCACACGCCGCCCGGGTTGCAGGCTCGTTCCCCAGGGGGGCGTGCAGGAGGCAGCCGATCAGTGTTTTGCTCTCATGTCGATGTTTCTCTCTCTCCCTTCCTCTCTCTCTAAAAATCAAAATCTTAAAAAGAACGTCTGGAAGAAAAAGGAAGTTGTGACATGGAATTAAGCAGAAGGTCATCAACTTCAGATTTTGTCCACAGACTTTATAAAACATCCCCAGTTTTCTCCTCAAACATAAAAATGAGAACCTTACTCTTCAGCTAGAGAAGTCACTCCTGTAGCGCGAGGGAGTCCGGGGCGCATCTTGCGAGCCCTGCCTGCTCTGGCTCTAAGCTGCATGTGTGTTCAAGGTTGCCTGTCTAGAGTGTTCGATTCTGGTGTTCCGATGCTATCTAGTTAAATGAGAGCGTTCGCTCTCCCTTCCTTCCCCTGTTGTCCACGTACCAGAAAGTCTTACCGAGAAGCCACCGGGAAGAACTCCCTTTCCTTTTCTGAGCTCAGGACCTTACGCCCGGGCTCCTGTTGCCGTCCGTGGAGCGAACTCTAGGATAGGTCCTTCCCTGTGATGACAAAAGTGTCGTCTTCTCACATTTTACTTATTAACATAAGTCAACATGTTTTCCAATCAGGCAAGTTCACCATCTAGCCTGTCAGTCGCCATGGACATGTCAATGTGAAGGCCTTCACCGCTGGCCATGGCCAGGATTTCCACCTGCCTCTGGCCACGTGACCCCCTGCACCACAGGGCCGAGTCTCAGCTGCCAGCAGGGTGCTCATCAATAGGCCATCCTCCCCTACATGGTCCTGCCTGTGGGCAAGCTTTCACCCTTCCCTCAGTGGGCAGGCCGGCCCATACTGTGTTGTCTTTACCTAGTGTGCCGGTGTTTGTGGTTATGCTTCACATGCACACACGTGCACGTACACACACACACACACACACGCATGGGCCTTCTCATTGTAGACATCGCTTGGAAGTACTCATCTCAGAGAACAGAGAGTAACCTAACCCGATGAGATTTCCCCACCCCAACGTTATTATTATTGTTTTGCATCCGAATCTTTAGATTATTGGCTTGCATGTATTTTTCCCAAGACCAAGTCGTGGCCCTATACTGTGTTAGGAGTTGGTCTTGTCACTCCATCTGCACACACAGGTGAAGGTAGAGGAAGCCAGTCTTGAAAGACAAAAAGCTCTCATAGGTGGGTCCTGGGGAGGATCAGCTTCCCTGTGTGCCTGTTAAAGAGGTGTTTCTGGCTGGGGTGGGGGACGGGGGGTTGTAGGGGGAGGGGTTTAGTTAATTTCATCCTGTCAGTGCCCCAGGCACAAGAGGCCCTTTGTCTTTCTGTCCTCAGCCTTCCTCCTCCCCCCTCCTCCTGTTTTCTCGCTCACCCTTGCCTTCACATCTCTTTCTTTCATGTAGACATAAATTTCAAAACTTTGCACAGATGTAATTAGTGATTCTTGACTGAGCGCCTACTGTGTACAAGACTCTTGAGTTCTTGGCGTGGATACAGTGGTTAAGGCACCAGCTCAGGCATTCGCGGCCAATGCCGGTGACTCTGTTTACAGAAGGCGCGCTCGTTCAGAGTGCAGGAGACGCTTGCTTGGCGCAGAAGACGGAATCCCCTTTCTGACACAGCTGTGGTGCTCCAGGTAGTGAACTCCTGGGGTCAGGGAGGCAGGGGCAGCTTGCCAGGTGACGACGTGGTTTTGGTGACAACTTGTCCTGAAACAGTCACCGGCGTTGCTCCATGGATCACTTTTTTGAACCAACTTTCAGGGAGTT